GGTATATGAAAGAGAGGAAGGTAATGTGTGTGTGGATAGTGAGTAATTGAACTGCAGTCACACGGTATTGTTGAAGTTAACATTCGTTCGTTACAGTTTTAGCGCGAGTATTGAGATTAAGTGTATCGCAGAGTTATATTTGGAAAGAATAAACCAGTTTTATTAAGTAAAGAACTTGTGTCGTTAAAGTTTCGTTTATAGTGTTACGTCTCCGTGTGTTAATTAATTTTCCGTAACTTCGTTTCATACATTGAATATCTTGATGTATTTCTTAATTTCAAGTCTTTTGGCAGAGAGTGCACAATATATAGTGAAATAACTTAAATAAATGAATTAGTTGTGCTTCTTACACAGGTTTATAGGATGTGTCACAGAATGCCAAAATATTTACTTTAGAGCAAGCTTTACAACTTTAATACAAAAACAAGATCCCAACATGCCATTTTGACTTTAAAATTTAGAACCTGAGCCTTATCATTCTCTTTGAAATATTTACACATAATCTAATAACAACTACAGAGAAGTTGCCAAAAAAGTGGAATATTACCATTATGAAGATTGAAGTAGTGATATATTCTGCCTTAGAGTTTCTGCTCTACAAGGAAGAATAAAGAACTTGTTCTCTCCAAACCTTCAATTCAAATTCTATTGAGGTAGTCAAGTTTTGTATTTAGGCGTTGTAAACTTCCATATCAACTAGCTGAATGCTTGCTCTTGCTAGTTGAATGCTTGCTCTTGCTAGCTGAACTAAGGAGGAAATGTAAGTGACTACTAATTCTACATTGATCAATATCTTCAGCTTATAATGTACAGGTTTGTAATAGAACCTCATTCCGATGTAAATAACTACTAATTCCACATTGATCAATATCTTCAGGCTTAACATCAAACCCGACAAATGAAAGACAATAGTATTTTAAGTAATAATTGGCAATAAGAATATATAGAAAAAATATATCTTCTTAGAAACAGTAGAGATATCAGTTAATAGCCATCTAAATTTAATCTGTTCTTAATTAAGAAAACATCCAATTACCAAATTCAATCAACATAAAAGTGCTAACGTAATCCTTTGACTCAGTTAACAAACTATATGTATTGCTTAAATGTAACAAATCTTTTTACTTTATTAAATGGTAGTGGTATTATTACTGCCTTAATTTTTTTTTATGAACATTAAATTTTTAACTTCAAAGTTCCATCTCATTTTAATGTATTTGTGCTGTATAATACTGTCTTAAGGTAATTTAATAAGTCTATTGTTATGCAATAATTATGAGTATTTAAATAAATTTACATATATGATGTGACAACGAGAATGGCTAGTACACAACAGTTTTGTGGTGAATAAAGTTAAAAATATCAACTTACATTTCATATAAAGGAAAAAACTGAACAATATAGATATGGTATTTAACATAGGCCTAAATAAGTTGATTAGGTCAGATAAATTGTTCCTGATTGATCAGATAACATAGTGTTTTTCTAAGCAATGTAATGAAATATTTTTTACATTAAATCTTGGAATTTATTTACTTTATCACTTATTAATATATTTTTTCAGGTTTATATATTTTACTGAGTGTGAAAGGTCCTTGGAGCAAAGTTGGCTACAAGTATGATGTCATGCAGATGACAGATGAAGTCTATCTTGTAAATTATAATTCAAGAAATGAAGGAAAAATTGAAAAGAAACTGAAGTATTGTGAACCTTACTTACCACCGATCCCATCCACAGATTGCCCTTCAGCTCCTTATTCCTGTCTCAACTGCCATGAGTACTTAGACTATAAACTGGAGGAAATTATTTGTACATTTGATTTCAGTGAGTTCAGATATTATAAAGCATTTTTTCTTTGTACTTTGTATAGTTTTTATATACATAACTAAGGATCAAGTGATTGAATGTAGTTGTTCAAATATATTATATAAACCGTTATCAGTATATTATAAGTGTGTTATAAATATGGCTCTACTCCTCATATTTTAAGTACTTATAATAACTGATACATGAAAAGATATCTCTTTGCCTTTGTAATGTTTAGAATAAACACCAGTTTGTTTTTAAATACCTATATTAATGTATTCATTCTTAGAAGCATATATGACTTTGACATTAAACAAACAAGATTAATAAATATATTTGAAAATATCTTGACCATGCTATCTTTAATATTTTAAAAATACCTTTATGTCAATTTTATATAATCATTTTCATGGATAGTAATGAAACCATAAGATATGAAAAAATTAAATTATCTAAAATTGAAGCCAGCCTTGAGTCAATATTCTTGTTTTGGAAGTTCGTAATTTGTTTTCTTGACATCTCGTTTCATTTTCTACCATTCAAAATTGTCAAAAAAGGATTTCTGACCATATTTCTAATCAACAAAATTTACTGAAAAATATTAACGAACCTCACTTCACTCAGAATGTTTTATTTAAGAAAGAAATATAGTAATAAACGTAATTTATTTCTAAATGGCTCTTCCTACAAAAGTTTGTTTTGTCTTCCATTGTTCTTAATAAGATTTATGTGTCTTTTTTTATTAATCAACTTGGTTAAAGTATAATAACTGCTAAATATTAATTGCTTTGTACATTCCCAAGTGATACACTTTCTTTGCAAGATAATACAAGAATAACTTCATGAGAAATGTGCTTGGTACCTGCTATATTATACTTGAAAATCAAAAAGGAGTATACATTATCCTTTGTCTGTAGGAAGTTTAAGATTTTGTTTTGTAAGAGAATCTTCATTTGAGGAGGCAATCTGTTGTAGGCAAACAGTAAACATAGAAACAAAGATATTGCAATGATTTTTAATGATTTTTATTTTTTGAGGAAGAGAAGTAAAGCAATAAATAATTCATCTCTTTAAGCAGTATCAATAAAAGACAATTAATAGATAGAAAAATTAGAAAGTGAGAGCTTGCTGTGTTTGTTACAATAAAGTCATATAGTTTTTACTTTGAGTCACCAAATTCTCCTCAAAGGGCACCATTTTCACTAATTCCAGTGGTAAAGAATCTGTTTAGTATTGTGTAAAATCATTTTATTAGAGTGATTAAACAAAAAATATTCATGTTCTATATTTCTTATATTTTGCATAAAATATATGTAAATATGATTCTGTTTTATGCTGCGGTTCCCTAAGCATATTTAATAATAATTTCTATCTTTTCTGTTAGATACTTTTGGTACATCTGTTATACCTTACCCCTTTAACAAAAATATCAATAACCTTTATATTTATATTACAAGTATGTTATATTATACTCGACCATAAATAATTTTGCTTATTACAATGCGAAATGATGCGTATTTGGAGCCTTAGATTACAATCTATGAATTTTTGTAGGATGGCTATAAAAAAGAAAGAAAATGAAATACTTCTTGGAATATTTATAATCTTAAACTTTATTTTATTACAAGTTACATCATCTACAGTAAGGAATAATATTCTTGAAACACGTATGAAATTTGGATCACTGGTGCAATCATTCTCGAGTACACAAATTTTAACAGTAAAGAATGTTTTAATATTCTAATATGGAGTAGTTTTCTAAAAATGTGTAGTGATAGGAGTGCATATACTAAAACCTTTTTTACAATTAAAACATGTATACTTGAGAATGATTGCACATGTTTTAATAATATTGTTGCATCAGCGAGGTCACGTGAGTAGTATCACGCCACGTATTTCTAGAAATATCCTGTTCCTTCAAGAATGCCTTAGCATTTACTAGTTATGTGTTAGTCTGGTATATATAAGACGCTCACAACGTAACGGGAACAGTGTGATGAGTAATTGAACTGCAGACGGCGTTAATGAGTAATTGAATGTATGCGGACAAAATATTGTTGGCCACGTGAGACGTGAATTATAGTGTTGTTATAGAGTGACTGTTGAAACTAAGTGTATAGTAAAGTTGTATTTGGAAAGAATAAACCAGTTTTATTTAAAAAAGGACTTGTGTCGCTAAAGTTTCATCGGAACAAATTTACGGAAAATTAACTAACGAACAGAGACGTAACAATATTATTCACTGTAACTTGAAATAAATTAATACTTATGATGAGTAGTAAACTCAGAGTGAAATTATTAAACTTGGACTGTTAATTGTTATTTTGAAACATAAATTTTATACGTGTACTATTAAAATATGCTTGCATTTTATTGTTTCATTTTCTTATATGGGAACTACATAAAAAATATTTATTTTTAGTTATAAAAGAATATTTCTATACAGTATTATCCAACATAATATAAATATGAATTACAAAAATATATAAATCTTTTGATGTGATGATCTTTTAGTTCTGAAGATTGATATCAAGACGCTTCCCGATTCAAGTAAGTCATCACGTGAAATTTTGTTACCCATTGAAATACGTCCCTTTTTTCGAATCTTCTAAAACAATGAGAATAAAGTTCACCTATCTATTGTATAAAATAATCGAGAAATATAGGTATAGAAAAAGATGAGTGGTATTATTATTATCATAAAAATGGTTTTTTTCCATAAAATCAGAAAGGTTAAGTAGTGTCATTTTGGTAAAATAAATATTTTTTAATTTGAAATTTATAAAGTTTCTATATTTTATCATTTTTCTTTGCAGATTAACTTCATTTTCAAATTATATGCTTTATCTCTCATTAACTTGAAATTGTCCTTATTATCAAACTTTTTTTTTCTAGGATATAAATATTTCTGTGGAAAGTTTGTAATAGTCAATTTCTACAAAGGTAATGAACATAATTTTGCATCTGAGATCAGCTACAGTGTGAAAAAGTCCTGCTCTTGTGAACAACTAAAAATTGGTAAGTTTTGGTGGATGAATGTTTAAGTTTATAAAACTTGCTGATACTTTAGGAGAAACGTATTGTTCTTGTATCACTATTTAACTCATACCACCCTGATAGATGCATACCATCTCGAGGGTAAAATTGGAGCCTTAAATGAAAATAATTTTAAAAAATAGACTTGTAATAATTTATATAGACATATATAAAAAATGAAACACAGGAAAGTTGAAGTTTATATAATAAAAGAATTTTATTTATTTAAGTTTACAAACCAAAATAAATTGTCAATTTTAATTGTGGGTTGAGAATAACAAAGGAACTTGTATCCTCCTACTAGGAGGAAAGTGAAAATAGGATAACTTTACATTGTAGCTTTAAAATAAGAGTAGGTTTACCGATTTTCCCTAACTATTTGTTGTCATGGTGCTATAACATATCATAGCATAACATTAATAGACAACAAGAGATCTTTTGATCCTTATACATTCCATCCCCTCCACTGAATTAAAGTAAACACTGAAAAATCTCAAGGCCAGCCATTATGATTCAGATACTTATCTTCCTTAAACCAATTTCATCTACCACATCTGAAGGGAGTCCATTCCATTGGCCAACCACTCTGTTGGAAAAATATAGCTATTGTAACTGAAGATGACTCCTCCCTGCCAAAATATATATTTGTGTCACGTATTCTTATTATTCTCACCATTGGATATGAAAAAAGATGAGACATCTACACCATCAGTTCCCTTAACAACCTTAAACATCTCAGTCAGATCCCTTGTAACTGTTCTTTTTTTGGAGAAATCAAGTTTAGAGATGTTAACCTTTCCATCCCAGATTTCATTCTAGTAGCCCTTCTCTAAACACTTTAGAAAAATTAAATATCCTTCCTTAGGTAAGGTGCCCAAGAGAACGTGGCCTAACCAATGACATATACAATGAAATTATAACCTCTTTAGATTTTTATTCAATGTTTCTGTAGATTCTACCTAAAATTTTATTTGCACTGCCACATTGCATAGATGACTTATAAGGTTGATAAACTAGAACACCAAGATACTTTCTGTCATAACACTGTTATGGCTATTCACATCAAAATTCTACTCATAATAGAAACTTTGGTATGTCACATGCAGTACCTTGCATATACTGTAATTAAAGGCCATCTGCCACTTATTAGCCTAACTCGCCAACTAATCCAAATCCTTTTGTAAAGCAGCAGTAGTACCCTCCACACAGGCAGCAAGACAGAAAACTTTAATGTCGTCAGCAACTTTAAATAATCTGTTGACTATTTTTTCATCTGTGACATTTATGTAAGTAAATAAAGAGAAAAGGTCCAAACACTGAGCTTTGAAGTACCCCACTTGTGACATTAATCCAATTTGTCTGACCTCCATTTTAACAACTATTTGATTTCTTTCCCATATTTTTAATAAGTCTCTTATGTAGTGCCTTGTCAGAAGATTTTTGAAAATTCAAATAAACTAATTCCAAACCCATACTCTCATCTACATAAGCTGTAACTAGTTCAAAGAATGTCAAAACATAATAAGGCAAGTGTTTCCTATAGTTAAACTATGTTGACTATCGAACAAAATTTTAAACTTTCTTAAATAACTTTGTAAAGTATTTTATCAGACTTTCCAAATTTTTCCCACTACAAAAAAGGTCTATAATTACTGGAAAATGTTTTACCTTCCTGGAATATGGATTAACATCTGCAAACTTCCAATCTTCTGGCACCTGCCCACTGTTCAACGACTTACTATAAATAGTAGAAAGTGGCTAAACTATCCAATCCTTATCCTCTTTCAAAACCCTTTGGTAAACATTATGTGGCCCAGGAGGCTTATTATTTTTTAAACTATCCAATTTTTTTCTTAACAAGGTCATAATTAAGGTGATCATCTTGTTCAATATCGTTTCAGTCTTGCAACTGTTGAGTATGAGAAATATTGCTTAAATCCTCATTACAAAACACTGAAGAGAAAGTATAATAGCTTTCTTCCCATCCTAACATCTTGCATACCCTTAATGCATGTTAGAAATCCTTATTATTAATTTTCATAGAGCACTTTTTTGACATAATGTTTTGGTATCCTGCTTTACCAATTGACTAACTCTCCTGATGTTCATAAATCCCTTAACTTTCCCATCATAACATTTAATGTAAGCTAATTAAATGTATAGTACATTTCGTGAACTTTGTATTGTACGCTTTGTGAGCAAACCTGTTTTTTTTATTGCAGTCACCATTGTTTTTTCTATCAAGGAAATGTTTCTCATGAATATTTAAGAATATATTTTAAAATATTTTCCACATTTGATCAGCATCTCCCACTATTTCAGTTGTTGCGTGTCATTACATAGTTAGCATTCAGGCCTAGTGACCTACTTATAATTTCATCTCCACAATTAGTTCTTGGCAGCATCTCTGACAGAATGATGTTATTATGGCTCTTTCCATTGAATGCCTTTATAAGTGGCTTACAGTTAACAATAAGCTACTCTGACCTGCTCTTCCTTACATCATTAACCCATATGTTCACTACAAATACTGCATCACTGCTAGCACCCTTTAAAATGTCACTTGCTCTGTTGGTTATATCCTCCACCTATATCCCCTGGATAACATAATTTAATTCTTTTCTCCCTGTTTATCTCCCAGACTATCCTATACCATAACTGTCTTATATTTTAATTCCTTATATATATACATCTTTTTATTATCATTTATTTTTGGTTAATTTCCTTAACAATTCAAATAGATAGTGAAGCCAATAAGGACTAATGTAGAAAAAGCTTGTTTTGAAACACTCATTTGGCGTATCAATTTAATGCATCTATTGTATGTTTTTATTTATTTTACTACAAACTTTAGATGACCTTTTTGTGAATTATGTAGCTCCTGGAAATGAATTATTTTATACTTATACATAATGTCTCTATGAATTTAAGCTTTGAAAACATGTATTTCTTTGCAGAATCTTCTAAAACTTCCCTCTAGAGTTTTCTTTTATCATAAAACTATAAATATATCTCTATTTTCATCCAACATGCAGTTTCACTCTGTTTACGCTCACTCGTGTACAGAAAAATAAAATTATTATAACATCAAAATTATAAGCAATCTGGTGTTTTGTTTTCATTCATAATGAAAGGATTTAATTTGACATAGCTAATAAATTTCAAACTCATTTTCTTTTCATTTATATATATATATCCTAACAATTTGTTTGTAATTAAATCTTCATGTAACATTGTTTTCCTTTTATAAAAAGAAATAACATATTTTGTGTATAGTGTTGTTTTTGTAATGCTTAATCAGTTGTTTTATACTAATATAGCATTAGTTTATCTCTTATCATTATGTATGTGCTTCATCACTGTGAGTTATTTTCATGTTTATTTTCTGATCGTCTTCCATCAGTAAATATAACGTTATCTATATATGTGATTATTGTGGATAAATGTTTGAGGACTCATTTTCATTGTTCAGTATTTAAGTATTAGTAGGTACTTGCCCATAGTTCAGTCTTTTCATAAGCTGAAATACTTTTAAAATCCAATGTAAATTTGTTTAATATTCAGATATCTCTCCTTAAACATTTACTTGAGGAAAAAACTAGTATTAGATTTTGTGTAATTGTTATTCATATAGCAAAATGCCAATCTTTCACTGGAAACAGAACTTTATAATTCTGTGGTAAGATTTAATTTGCACCAATATGTTTTTCAACTGAAATATTTATATATTGTAAAATAAAACATTATTCACATGAAACCATAAAACCTGTGTGATTTTAAATGTCACAAAATTTTAAAAGAATGGCTCTCTGTATGTTACTATAAAGGTAAGACTTCTATGGAATAATATTCTAAATGTACAACTTTTCCAAGTTTCATTGAGGAAATGATCTTATCTAATTTTTTTGTGTTTGTTTATACTTTATATTTTGGTTGTTATGGTTATGTTTCCTTCAATTAACCTCACACAAAAAGACTCTTGTAATCAGAAAGGTTATGTCACAGGAATAAAGCTTTAAATCCCGTATACATTGTGCTGCATTAAGTTTTTACTCTGACAGAGACTACGATATGTATGATGAACTAGATTAAAATAAGTCGCATATTACACAAATTTATAGGATGAGGCAGAGAAAACCAAAACACTTAGTTTAGAGCCAGGTTTACAAGATCCCAACATGCCATTTTGACTTTAAAATCTAGAAACTGAGGCTTATCTTTCTCTTTGAAATATTTACACATAATCCAAAAACAACTACAGAGAAGTTGCCAAAAAAGTGGATTATTACCATTATGAAGATTGAAGTATTGATATATTCTGCGTTAGAGTTTCTGCTCTACAAGGAAGAATAAAGAACTTGTTCTCCCCAAACCTTCAATTCAAATTCTATTGAGGTAGTGAAGTTTTGTATTTAGGCATTGTAGACTTCCATATCAACTAGCTGAATGCTTGCTCTTGCTAGTTGAACTAAGGAGGAAATGTAAATGACTGCTAATTCCACATTGATATATATCTTCAGCTTATAATGTACAAGCTTGTAATCGGACCTCATTCCCATGTAAATGCCAATAAGAAAATATGTGCAACATTAAACTTTACATTCTAACAATCTCAGTTCAGTTTCTATTATTTTCATGTAAAACCTAGTAAGTTTTAACACTTTTCACATCTACACAAATGCTAATGTCAACCGTATAAATGATAACAATAGTATTTTAAGTACTAATTGGCATTAACATTATATAAAAAAAGAGAAATCTCCTTATCTTCTTTGAAATACCAGTTAATAGCCATTTAAATTTACCCTGTTCTTAGTTAAGAAAATATCCGATTACCAAATTCTGTCAACATAAAATGTACTAACTTAATATGTAATTCTATGACATAGTTAAGATATTATATGTATTAATTAAATATAATAAATATTTTTAGTTTATGTAATGGTAGTGATATGATTACTGCATTAACATTTTTTTTTATGAACAATCAAATTTTAGCTTGAAACTTGGCTTTAAATACACTCATCTCATTTTGACATATTTTAGTACCTTATGGTACTTTACTAAAATCTATTGTTGTGCATTAATTATATGTTTTTAAATAAATTTATACTTAAAATATGAGGAGTAGAGCCATATTTATAACACACTTATAATATACTGATAACGGTTTATATAATATATTTGAACAACTACATTCAATCACTTGATCCTTAGTTATGTATATAAAAACTATACAAAGTACAAAGAAAAAATGCTTTATAATATCTGAACTCACTGAAATCAAATGTACAAATAATTTCCTCCAGTTTATAGTCTAAGTACTCATGGCAGTTGAGACAGGAATAAGGAGCTGAAGGGCAATCTGTGGATGGGATCGGTGGTAAGTAAGGTTCACAATACTTCAGTTTCTTTTCAATTTTTCCTTCATTTCTTGAATTATAATTTACAAGATAGACAACATCTGTCATGTGCACGACATCATACTTGTAGACAACTTTGCTCCAAGGACCTTTCACACTCAGTAAAATATACAGACCTGAAAAAAATATATCAATAAATGATAACGTAAATAAATTCCAAACTGTAATGTAAAATATATTTTACCACATTGCTTAGAATACAACTATGCCATCTAATCAATGAGCAATTGATATGTTTAACTGTACTCACTACAAAACTGTTGTGTACCAATTGTGCCTCAGCTGAAATTACTGAGAATATTTTTAAAACACTGCACAATAATATATTTTGTTTACTGTCAATGTCATATCTGCTTTTAAGAATGAAGATGTTAATATAGGTATTTAAAAACAATCTGGTGTTTATTCTAACTATTCATGTATCAGTTATTATATATTTAGTAACCCGGATTTATATAGTTGATTAATATTTTTCAGTAAATTATCTGGGCTAGAAATGAAGTATGAAGTTCTTTTTATCAATTTTGAATGTCAAGAAAACAAATCATGAAAGATCATACAATTCCGGAATAACAATATGTACTCGAGGTTGGCATGAATATTAGGTAAAATATATTTTCTTTTTACAGTTGATGGTTTCATCACTATCCATGAAAACAATTATGTGAAATTGATAGAAAGGTATTTTTTGTAAATAATAAAGGTAAGATAGTCAACAAATAAATTACTTTCATTAGTATACTTTTTCTTACATAAAACATAGTGAGTGAATAAGTGTTTCTTTCTACAAAAGTTTGTTTTCTCTTCCAAACAGTAAGATATAAATGCCTCTCTTTGGATATATATAGAAAGCATAATAACTGATAAATATCAATTCCTTTGTACATTCCCAAGTGACACACCTTTTTAGCAAGATAATACAAATATATCTTCATGAGAAATGTGTTTGATAGCAGCTATATTATACTTGAAAGTCAAAAAGTAGTATACATTATCCTTTGTCTGTAAGAAGTTTAAGATTTTATTTTGTAAGTGAATCTTCATTTTGGAAGGCAATCTGCTGTGGCAAACAGTAAACATAGAAAGAAAGATATTGCAATAATTTATGATGTGTTTAAATGAAGTTTATATTTTTTGAGGAAGAGAAGTAAAGCAATAAATAACTCCTCTCTTTAAGCAGGAAAGACAATTAATAGAGAGCAAAATTAATATTATATCAAGAATGTGAGATCTTGTTATGCTTTTTATATAAAGCCATATAGTTTAACCCTAAAGGACACCATTTTCATAAATTGCTAATGGGAATGAACTTTTTCGACAATATTGTGTAAAATCCTTTTATTAGAGTGATTAAAGAAAAAAAACAGTATTTCTTACATTTTACATAAAATATTTGGATGTATGCAAATTTTGTTCTGTTTTTTGCTGTGGATCCCTAAGCATATTTAATAATAGTTTCTATTTTTGCTATTAGATACTTCTGTTTTAGGAGAACTTTTGATATTCTCTATAGCTTGCCCCTTTAATGAAACTATGCATAACTTCTAATTTTATATTATAAATATTATACCCAACAGTAAGTAATTTAGTTTATTACAGTGTGAAACGATGGGTATTTTGGGGTTTAGATTAGAGTTTATGGATATTACTCTAGGTTGGCTATAAAAAAAGACAGAAAATGAACAGATGAAAGTCTCCTTAGAATATTTAACATCTTAAATTTTATTTTATTACAATTACGTCATCTTCAGTAAGGAAGAATATTCTTGAAACACGTATGAAATTTGGATCACTGGTGCAATCATTCTCGAGTACACAAATTTTAACAGTAAAGAATGTTTTAATATTCTAATATGGAGTAGTTTTCTAAAAATGTGTAGTGATAGGAGTGCATATACTAAAACTTTTTTTACAATTAAAACATGTATACTTAAGAATGAATTCACATGTTTTAAAAATATTATTCACTGTAACTTAAAATAAATTAATACTTATAATAAGTAGTAAACTCAGAATGAAACTATTAAACTTGGACTGTTAATTGTTATTTTGAAACAATTTTAATACATTTACTGTTAAGATATGCTTGTATTTTATTGTTTCATTGTCTTATATTTTAAGTACATATTTCTATACAGTATTATCCAATGTAATATAAATATGAATTACAAAAATATATAAATCATTTGATGTGATGATCTTTTAGTTCTGAAGATTTACATCAAGAAGCTTCCTGATTCAGGTAAGTCATCAGATGTAATTTTATAATTTATTTAGGTACTTTTCTTTTTCTAAAAATTGTAAAAAATCAATAATGAATTTCTCGTAGTCATAATGTGAAATATTTTTAAAATGTCATTATAAAAATTCACAGTATATATATATGTATGTATATGTGTATATATGTATATATATATATATATTATTTTTTTTTTAATTTAAAAATACAATTGACTTTAACCCATATGCTTAAGGTAGATCAATTTGTGCATGTCACAACCTTTTAGGGAATTATATTGAAAATTTAATTAAACTACTTTATTATCATTGTCTTCTAATATACTTGGCATCAAACCTAGCTAATAAACAAATTTTCATATTGATTAAGTTTTTGTGTTTTTAATTTTTATAAGAAAACATTTTAAAAAATCTTCAAACTCCCTTAGTATGAAAATTGTGATATTTGTTCTCTACAACTTCTGTCTTATCTTATCTATTTACCACTCTTTTGAGAAGTGTGGAATTTAATGTAAATTACTCAGTATAATATAGTATTACTCAGGCAAAATGTAATTTTTATAACCTTACATCTTATTTGGTTGCAGAATCATAATCTAGAAAATCTTGCCACTTCTACCTGTCACATCCTTTCTTTTGCAAACTTTCTTTTGTACTCTTTAATGTTTAATATCATATTATTTATCATGAATAGAAAGTAAGTGTTTTAATCTATCAATTTACAAGCCCCCCAGTGGCTCAGCGGTATTTCTGTGGACTTACAACGCTAGAATCCGGGTTTTGATACCCGTGGTGGGCAGAGCACAGATAGCCCATTGTGTAGCTTTGTGCTTAATTACAAACAAACAAACAAATCAATTTACATATTATATTACATTATTTTCTGTACATAGAATTGTCTATTTTGCTTCCAGTTTAGTTTTTCTTCCCACAGGAAACACATTCAGGAGCTTAGCTGAATTTTTAATGGCTGTTATCGTATAGTTTGAAATCCAGATATTATAATAGTTATAGGACATTGTCTGCTTTTTACATGTTATTAATCTGTATTCTTAGTTGTATTATTTAATTAAATAAAAATTATTTAATGTAGTAACACCTTTAGTATAAAAAGTAGGCTTAAGTTTCATTGACAATCGACAGCATCAAAAATGAAGACACAGGTAGGTACTATATTTCTTTTTTTCTTGTATATGTATTCTTTATTTATTATTATAAAAGTAACTAAAATGTAAAAATTAGAAACATTTTAGGTTATATTACGTAAGATAAAGAAAAAGAATAATATAAATGCTTCACAAAGAGTACTAGTGAGCAACTTGTGTGTTATGTAATTTGATAGGGTAATGTAAGCTATATGTTCACCGAGTGATTTATAACTTGTGTGGAAGTATTATTATTTAGATATGGTTCAGAAGGCAATAAAATTAATTACAAATGGATGTACCCTGTTACAAGCTTTAAATGATTCAGGATAAACAATTGTGGTTTCCTGTTACAATTTGCAGTTATTCCAGAAATTAAAAAAGGTAGTTTAGAGTTATTTCTTAATCTTTTTATGGTAGTTATGAGGTTGGCAAATTGATCAACCCTGTCTAAAGTTATCATATAGAAAATAATAGATAAAATATAAAGATTTCCTGAAAAAAACTTTTGATATTTATTTAAGAGGCTTTAGGTATTAAACAAATCAAATTTGAAAATTTTCAATTGTAGAAAATATTTTTAACTTTAACATGAAATCACTTTGCACTTGGAACAGTCAACACTTTTACACCATAAAATTACAGACAAAGTTTTTGTAAAAATACTTAATTAAAAATTCTGAATATATGTCTACAAAAGACTTAATGTTTACTTTCAAAGTCATCGTATGTTATATGGTTATATGATGGTTACAGGGTCATTTAAAATATATGAGCCCATTGCGATATAGTTAATACATAGACTATGTTTCTGTGAGTAAAATGAAAAGGCTAAGCAGCATCACTCTGGTCAAAACTATTTAGAAATATTTTTAATCTGCAGAATTATTGGGGCTTTTTTTTGTTCTTAGTTAATCTCTAATGCTTTTTATCCCAAAGTGGATCAGAAGTAAATCTGTTGAAATTCAGGGTTTGATTCTCCATTATGGACAAAGCTCAGATTGCTCATTATGTTTGTTATTTTGCTAAAGCAAAACAATAATGCTTCTTCATGAATTAGCTGTTTTTAATTATTTATATTCAATTTCTTTAGCCTGAACTTGTTCTTATGTTAAAACTTTTTTTTCTTCTAGAATATAAATATTCCTGTGGAAAGTTTGTAATTGTCAAAGTCTACAAAGGTTACAAGTATGACTTTGCATCTGAAATAAACTATATTGTGAAAAAGGATTGCTATTGTAATCAACTGAAGATTGGTAAGTTTTGCTGGATGAATCTTCAGATAGGTATGACTTAATTATGTTGATCAGAAAATGTTTTTCTTTCAAATCATTTAAATTGGGGGGGGGGTGCTAAAGATGGGGGTTCTTTTATACATATCATAAATTACCAGGTTGACAAAATATGTCTAAATGAAAAATGTTATTACACTTATAATCCATTCATGTTATGTTGACCAGTGTCAGAACATCATTAAAAATAACTTAACTTAAAATAGATAAAAATACAAGCCATTTACATTATAACGTTCCAATTCTGTGAGAAAGGCTATGTAGGTGAAACTGGAAGACATGCAAGTTTCTGAATATAAGAAAGACTTTCAATTGGGAAAGAAATGCCATTTTTTTCATATGAAATACTCAAGCCATCATATTGATTGGAAATAAACAACAATTTTATACAATTGATGACTGTGTAAAAAGAAAAATTATTAAGAGTTCCTTAAACAAAAGCCTACCCAATTTCAACACCTCCCAAGGTCACCTTAAGCTAAACAGCTTCTCAATATCCTGTATCCTTAAAGGAATTCAAAGTTCCATGATTATGTAGGTGTTGATGATTGATTTTCCTGCCATAAGACAATGTAAGAATGTCAAAAGTAATTTTTCAGTATCACAACCTTTGACAGTTTGTTCCATTTAGTGTGGTTTTTCACTAACCATGCTACCAAGTCATATCATATGACTGTGTTACGTATATTATTATGTTGATTAGCTAAAGTTTCATCATGATTATACAACAGCTGTTAGATCAGTATAGTAGCATACTACATGCACATATTGTAGAATTTATTTTGGGAGGCTATATCATCCCCAAATATGTATTCCCTGAACAAATGCCCCCAATTCTCTGCTAACTCAGTGCTTATTGCATGGGGATGGTAATAATGTTTAGATCTTTTTTTATTATTTGTATTTTTACATTTTGCTCATTTTTTATTAGTAATTAAACATTTCATATTGCAATTAATGTGGAGCAATTTTTATGATATATTACTTGCTAAGGTTTGCTTATTTATAAATATATATTAACACATTTTGTCATAGCATCTACAGTTTGAAAGTATTTTTTTTTCTCTATAATTAGATATGTCATGTTAAACATGCACTTTAGTGGAAAATAAGTTTGAAATTAAAGGAAATATTTGTTCATACAACCAAAGCTGTAATCTTTTAGTGGTAATAAGAGTTTAAGGCTGCCAAGTTTTACAGATAGTCCTAGCTTTCCCATTTACTCAAGATTGCAATTTTGCAAGTTAAAAAATAAGGCATAGATCACTTTTTACCCTATCAGGACTAAGTGAATGTTGCAGTTTTAGCTTTATCATCTCTTGTCAAACTAAGATATTAAAAAATGATGGTATTTACAATCTAATGTGTTGTGTGTGTGTGTGTACTGATATGTTTTACTTTACAGCATAGAAAGTATATTTATTTCATACTCACTGAACGAAAAAGTGCAAATGATATTTTTTAACTCCTGTCTTACTGTATCCAAACATACTGGGCAAGAATGGCTTGAAGGAGAAGGTTCATGTGGTAGATATGGTTCAGGTTTAGAATGGTAACAAGATTTTAGTTTATTTTCAATTCTATATTCATTTTCTGAATTTACAAGGTGAACTTGATGTGTCATCTGCATAGCTCCATATTTGTAACCCATTACATTCCAAGGCTCTTTTGCACTTAGTAAGATATAGAAACCTAATTGAAAAGCAATATTAAATTTATTTCTTTATATGTTACATAGTCGTTGAAACTATAGTTGTTAGAATTTAGTTATATAATTGTTTTTAAATTTCAAAGGATTTCAGTTCTTGCTTCAATTTATATATTATTTTTATATATCATAACAAATCTTAATCTTATAGTAGTGTCTCTTTATTTTTGAAATTTTGATATTGATATTTCATTAGTGTATTTTGCTGTTGTTATATAGTCTACCAGTGTTTTATTTTTAATAGAAATTTATAAGGTTTATTACAATAACTAATTCTTAAAGTAAATTAAATGCATTTAATGCTTCTTGATATAATCTTCTTGAGTTATGAAAATGAGCTAAGTTATTTACTATTAAAAAAATCTTATTACAACAATGCATTTTTTTTCCTTTTTTTTCGATATTAGTAATTGAAGTAAGATTTCAGTTTGGAAGAAATTACCATAAAGATAAAGGTAAGAACTGTACTTCTTTTATTGGATGGTTTTGCATGATACTTTGTAAAACTGTGATAAAAAAAATAAAAGATATGATACATACTTAATAACTTTAATAATTTTACTAACTTTAATAACTTATTAACCTTTTCAGAGATGTTGGAACTGGGGGGTATACACCCCCACTTTTACATATTTGACTTACATAGTTACTGTAATTTATATTATTATATTATTTATGTATAGCCAAGCACAACCACTTTGCAACTCTTTTGTACACCACTGCTTTTAGTGTTATTGAAATAATGAAATCAGAAGGAACTTGTGAGGAAATATTTTGTCTTCAAATTTATTAACTTGGAAGAAACTATGGTGTATTTGACAAATATGGCCAGGCTCTTAAGCAGAAAATTAAACCTTTGTTTTTGATTTCAAGATCTTTTCTGCTAAAATGTTTCATTTATACAATTAATAGACATAATAATTTTATACTAAACTTTTGTTTGTTCCAATTTTAAAGCACATAACTTATTCCAATACCAAATATCTTGTGGGATTTGGCCAAGAATGTTTGACTCCTGAATAATGTACCAAATGCATTTAATTATAAAACTAGAATGATGCTACTTTTTTAATTTCCCGGTACATTTATGGTCAGAGAATACATGTGATGAATAAGGCTATCAAGGTAACTTTAATTTTACCACATGTACCTTTAGCATTTAACATAATTTTTAATCAGTATTTTGTTATATAAGTTTGTAATGAAACTGATTAATCTTCTGTGCTCCATTAACAAGAACATTATATGGTGATGTTTTTATGCTGATGTGATTGACTGTCACATTACAATGTCCCCACAGCTGAAAGGATAAGCATGTTTGGTGATTGGTTTCAAACTAATGACCTAAAGATTGTGATTTAAGTGTCCTAACCACCAGACCAATTATGGACTTATCTATTAATAGTATGTTACATACTCTACTATAAATGAATATGATGACGAACAATGTACTAGTCAATATCAGACTTCTTTCCTTAAATGTTTTTTTTAATATGGGAAAGTTACCTAAAGTGGATACCTTTAAGCTTTATATATACTAGCAATGTTAGTTACAAGAAACATTGGTTATAAGCAACACTAAATAACTACAAAATGAGATCATGTGTGCAATAATTTTTACACTGATGATGATTATTTAAAAAATTAAAACAGGGTTATATGTCTATTTAAAAAATACAAAAGCTGCAAAATGGTTACCTGTACTGTGCCTACCATGAGTACTAAAACCAAGTTTTTAGTGTTATAAGTCTTCAGACTTGCCACTGAGCCAATTTATATGTCATCAAGAAAAACATAAAACTTAATAGATACTTTGTAATCATAACTGTTTAGTTCAATTAATTACAGTACCTATTTTAAAAACTAATATGAATATAACACAGATATATATGTACATTAGATAGAAATTAATGCAAGTATTCATAATATAGATTAAACATAGAAATATATCATAATGCCAACCATTATGTCGATAGATTTATAGCTTCAATTTCAAAATAGTTTAAAGCTTCTTTTTATTAATTTTTACCAAGAAAATCATTAACTATAGCTAGAATTTTTATTTGTAAAGGACAGTCAGGTGCTTTTCTAATTAATGGTCTGCTATAGCACTAACTCTTTTAATGAACTAATGCAAAGCCATTAGATATTCAACAATTCTATCGTATAATGTATGAGATGTTTTGCTAATAAAAAAAAATCATTACATGTGTTACAAGTTTCTTTGTAAATTACATTGTGTGCTCTGCAGACATATTTCTTTTAATTATTATCAGAATTGTATTCAGATATTATCAACTTTGTGTTAATGTCCTACCTGTATTCACACAACTTTAATTGGTAAGCCTGATTGTAAGTCCCTTTTATGTTATTAACTTATGTAAGAGATAGCCTAAGTCTCAAACTTACATGTGTCATCTTGTTTGAAAATTGTATTGATTTTCCTGGGCATTATCTTTGTAGCCTTCTTAACTACATCAGAAATAAAACTGAGATGTTATAAATCAGACAGTCCCTTAAGTTTGCATTGTGAATAATCAATGACACCTATGAAACTGAGTTGACTATCTTTAGCTAGTGTTATAGAGTAAAATTTGTTATACATTGTTAAGGTATATATGAAAAGTTTGAAGTTTGTATAAGTTAGAAAGCTAGATTTGAAATATTTCATCTCTTAACCACAAAATAGGCTTTTAACCTTCTGTTTTGAGATCAGGAAGCTAGTGCATCACTTTCTAATCTGCAAATAAATACTACTGTAAAAATTACCACAATCCTGTTGCCCAATGCAATCTTTATTTGTTGTTAAAGTTATTTATTTATTTGAAAATAACTGGTGGTCAGAATAAAATAAAGACATTTTTAAAGGTTCCAGAGGAATATCAGAAATATTTACATCCATTTGGTGGTGTTCATCATGGCTGTTAATTTTTCATTGATATGCTGAATAAGATGAGTTTTGCTGGAGTTAAACCTATTTCAGCATCTCTAAGAAATTGTTTGTACAACTATAATGACCCAGAATAAAATATGATAATGGTTGAATTATTTTTTTCGATTAGCTAAGAAATTGATTATAGAAACTTTGAGTTAAAATGGCAACCCTCCTTGTGATCTTTGGGCAAACTACAGAACTGCAGTTTTCTACTATATTCCAAAACAGTCTTACCTCTCCTCAGTGTTTCAGACTAGCAACCCTACTTTCAAAGGCATAAGAAATTTTGGGTGATTGTTTTAGGGTGTATAAATTCAAATTAACTGTTTCTTTCTCAGATATTGGTGGAAGACTGTGTTTCAGTAATACATTTCATGCTTTCACTGTGATCAGTATTTGTGTTGTTTTTTTCTTGATTCTTATAAGCTGTGAAACTAGACTATCTAATTATGTCAATACATTTTTGTACGCATGATATAATTTGAATTTTTTTGTCTTCTGTTAGTTTAGTCATGAGGGAAAGCTTCATGCCTTGAGATAAATTAGTCAGTGCATATGTGGAAGTTCAATGTTGTTTACCATGAGTGAATGGAGTTACTCTTCATTAAGATTAGGTGTTTTCATTATTAAGCTTGTTTTTACACTATTTTTAATTTTTTGGTTTAATCAAAAATAATAAGTTGATAGGCTTTTCTAAAAACATTTAATTTTCTTTAGTTTCAAGGAAGCCCCTACAAAAAGTTTAGTATATTTATATATCAGATTGTTAGTTTTTAAGTTTCTAAAAAACCTGTTATTCTTCCAGTTTTAAAATTGTGAATGGTTTAAAGCTAATTACCTCATGATTCCTGATTCTGTTTTTAATGTAGAAAATGCATATGATAAACAAGAAGATGAACGTGAAAGTATAAGATTTCTTTTACATAGGATTTGTATCACATTATAAGAAAATTATGCTATATGATTATTCATAAACTATTTACATAAAACATATTTTAGTATCCAGTGTTACAGAAAATAAGAAAAAAAGGTATATGCAGCAAAACTTTTGTGTAATATTTTAATTAAAACAAAGTTTCGTCACACAAGATGTTTTGTTAGACTGTTTATAATTAATTGTATATAATGAATTTTTTTTCACCAGTGGTATTGCTTCTAATTTGAAGTGATACTTTATAATTTATTTTCATGCTAATACATTTTTAGATAACCTGTTTAAAAATTATTGTTATGAAAACAAGTAAGATATTACACTGTATCAAACAAATTATGGCTGGTTACTTTATATTTATAATGGATTTGATCTATTTTGTAATCTGATTTATGAAAGAAAAGTTTAACAGATATGAAAAAAAGAAAATATTTAAAAAGGGGGAAATTGAGTAAAATAATATAAAGATCTGAAATAAATTGCTGTGTGCAAAATAACCTAGAAACATACATTGCTCTGTTAGGGAAACTGTATGATGTATGCATTGATAAAAAAGAATGACAGTTTGATAATTCTTTGAAAAACTTTTTTCAGTAACTTTTCATTCTCTAGAAATTGTTATATTTATGTATCATTTACAAGTACCTGAAACTTAAACTAAAATAAGCTATTTGTGAAGGCAGTTTTGAAGTACATGAATGATCTCAGGCTGTTAACGAGTATTTTGTTAAGATATTTTGGTTTGTAATTAATCTGTGTTTCATTATAAAGAATTTAAGATAATGATATTTTTTTATTTCAATTACTCTGCTAACAGTTTTATGTTGCATTTTCTATTAGATAGTGAATATGACAAAGATAAAAGTAGTGATGAAAGTAAGTCTTTATTTTCTTCTTTATTGCTCGACTTTCATTATAAAAAATGTACATAAATTATGTATTTGTAAGCTATTATAGTTGTTACTGTTATACATTATAGGAAAATTAACTCTTCAAAACTTTGTAGTAACATTGTTTCTTTCTATAGGTTGTTTTCAGTGCTACCAACAATATCTTGAACTTTATCTTTTAACTACTATACTTCCTAAAATAAAAGTTTTGTTTTAATTTCAGTCTCAAAGTTTGGGTTTCTTGATACAAAGTACTGATAACTTTCTTTCTGTAGTTGGTATCTGATATAATAACATAGCATTCACCATTGTCTGAATAATTAATTATTTGTTTTGCTTAATTATCCAAAGAGAATTTCATTCTTCTGTAACATACTTACCTCCACCGCCACTTATAATTATTACTCGACTGCCAGGGTTTCTTCTCCGCCCATCTTAGCATTAGTCTCATTTTTTTCTTGCTTTCTCCAGTCTTTTTAATCCCTATTCAGTTGCCCTCAATCCAAACTAATTCTCCCAACAGAATAGATGTTGCATTGCAAGGTTCAGTTGGATTGCCTTTCATTTTGTAACTCGAATTGTTGGGTTGGCTTCTCATTGGATCACCCCAACTACTGACAATTTGGTCTCCAATACCTCATCTCTGGGCCTTGGCAATATATGCTTTCCATCTAGACAGGACAGGATTATCACTCTCAACCTTCTCTCCATTTCATATGTTATCCAGGGTACAAAATAAGATTTGTTCCAACCCATTGTCAGATCCTACTGATTGCACCAAATTGTTGGCTACACCTGGTTTTCTGCTTCTGCATTCCATTCTGGAGTGTCCAACAGTGTCACTTCTTTATAGGCTCTCTCTGTGGAGGCAGCCATGATCGGATATACTACACCTGGCTATCCAGAAGCTCAAGCTTCTGGCATAGAGGTTATCCTGTCTTTCACACGGCATTGGGGTTTAATTTTCTTATGTTGACATGTATCTGTCTCAGTTTCTGCTTAGGCTGAAAGTCACTTTTCTCAATGGTAATGACATGCATATTGGCAATGTTGTATTGTGAGGAGGTTGAACCCTTTTTAATCAGTGGTGTCATCCATAACTCAGTTTTTGACTTGGCTCTTTGACAGAGGTTTTTGCATCTTCCACAATCAGGTGTCCAATCAGATTTTGATTTTAGTCATTTTCAGTGAGGTTTTTGGAGGTTTTGTTGCCTGCACTTATATATTTAGAGATACTAAACAACACTTTATTCTAGGTTCTCTTTGAAGGAGAAGTATCTTCTGTGAATCAAATATAATCAGATTTCTCTTTTCTATGCTCCTAGCACCCCAGTCAAATTGCCCACTGGAGATCGTTGTGTGGACTGGTATGTGAACCACTCCCAATACCTTCATCTCATATTATTTTCTTGATCTGGCAGTCTCTTTATCTGAGGGTTTTTGACTTCCCTCTGTAGCTGTCTAAACTATTTCTGCTAGATTATCCAGAGGGGTGTGTATTTTATTTCTACCTTACAGGATCCCTAACCTTGTTTTCACAAGATCCCACTCTGTGGCTTGTGTTGACCAGACATCTGTGCTTTTATCAATCCAATTCCTCACTAGCAACCAATAATTCACTATATTTTATACAGATTGCAAAAGGCTCCATAAGACCACGTAGGAGCTGAGAAGGTGGTATTATTGTTCTATGCTGAACCACCACTCATGGACTGTTATAAGTAAAGCATAAGGGGGGATCCTGTAAATCCCTGACAATCATCAGATTGAATAAACCAAGCTTGGTTTACTTACAATAATTTGGGAAACTTGGTTCACTTATTGCACTGTTTCCAGAGCACTGTTGTTCAGGACTACCCAATGTGTATTCCTGCCGGATTCTACTAGTAGAGCTGGGGAGTCCTTACCACACCCAGTTTCCAGTTACTGGGGTGGTGGAGACAGAGGCTTTTCCTTTACTCTTGGAGTAGAGGGCAATGTTGGGGATCTTCCTACCTGAGTTTTGGATGTTTTTCCCAGATGTCAGTAGAAGTGACACCTAGCATTCAGTTATAAATCAGATAGTTCTGTAAGTTTGCTCTGTGAATAATCAAGAACGACACCTGTGATACTGAGGTGACTATCTTCAGCTAGGTGTCATAGTGTAAAAGTTGTTATACATTGTTAAGGTATATGTGAAAAGTTTGAAGTTTGTATAAGCTAGAAAGCCATATTTGAAATATTTCATCTCTTAACCACAAAATAGGCTTTTAACCTTCTGTTTGAAATCAGGAAGCTAGTGCATCATTTTATAATCTGAAAATAAATACTACTGTAAAAATTACCACAATCCTGTTGCCAAAAGCAATCTTTATTTGTTGTTAAAGTTATTTATTTATTTGAAAATAACTGGTGGTCAAAATAAAATAAAGACATTTTTAAAGGTTCCAGAGAAATAACAGAAATATTTAGATCCATTTGGTGGTGTTCTATCGTGGCTGTTAATTTATCATTAATAGGTATTAAATGGTAGAGTTAAACTATATCTGGGTTGAATAAGATGAGTTTTGCTGGAGTTTAAACTTTTTCAGCATATCTTGGAAATTGTTTCTGCAACTATAATGAGCCAGAATAATATATATATACATTAATGGACAAATTATTTTTTCAATTAGCCAAGAAAGTGATTGAAGATACTTTGAGTTGAAGTGACAGACTCTTCTTGTGATCTTTGGGCAAACTACAGAACTACAGTTTCCTGCTATAGTTTATTTTTAATGCTACCAGTAATATCTTAAGTATTTTGCTTTTAAGTTCTAGTTCCTTAAATAAGTTTTGTTTTCATTTCAGTGTCAAAGGCTGGGTTTCTTGATACAAAATACTGATAACTTTGTTTCTGTAGGTGGTATCTTGTAATAACATAGCATTTTCTTCTGGTGTGTTATTGGATTTTACATAATAGCTTTTGATTCTTGTTGTCATATTTATTAGCTGGTGTTTCAGACTAGCAACACTATTTTGAAGGGCATTAGAAATTTTTGGTGGTTATGTTTTGGGGTGTTTAAATTCAAATTAACTGTTTCTTTCCGAGATATTGGTGGAAGATTGTGTCTGAGCAATTTGTTTCATGCTTTCACTGTGGTTCTGTTTTCTTAAAACCAACCTATCTTAGGTAAGTGAATACATTTTTGTATGCCAGACATAATTTGAAGTCTTATGTCTTTTATTAGTTTAGTCATGAAGGGAAACTTCAGGCCTTGAGGTAAAATATTTAGTGCATGTATGGAAGTTCAATGTTTTTTTACCATGAGTGAATGGAATTACTCTTGATTAACATTAGGTGTTTTTGTTATCAAATTTGTTTTTATACTGTTTTTATTTTTTGGTTTAGCACAAAATAATAATTTGATAGGCTTTCTAAAAACATTTAATTTTGTTTTAGTTTCAAGGAATCTTCTGCCAAAAGTTTAGTAAATTTATACATCAGATAGCTAGTTATCAAATTTGTACAAAAGCCTGCTGTTCTTGCAGTTTAAAAAATACGAATGGTTTGAAGCTATTTACCTCATAGTTGTTCATTCTTTTTTTTTATCTAGAAAACATGTATGATGAAAGACAAGATGACAGTCAAGGTATAAGTTTTCTTTTACATAAGATTTCTGACATGTTATAAGAAAATTAAACTATATGATTATTCATAAAATATTTGCATAGAAAGTATTTCAGTATCCAGTATTACAGAAAATAACAAAAAGGGCATATGCAACAAAACTTTTGTGTAATATTTTAGTTAAAACAAATTTTCTTCACACAAGATGTTTTGTTAGACTGTTTATAATTAGTTGTATGTAATGAATTTTTTTCAACAGTGGTATTGCTTCTAATTTGAAGTGATACTTTATAACTTATTTTCATGCTAATACATTCTTGGATAATCTGTTTAAAAATATTGACTATGAAAAAGTAAAATATTACACTGCATTGAACAAATTAAGACTAGTATTTTATATTTATAATGGATTTGATCTATTGTGTAATCTGATAATGATATTTTTAATTTCAATTATTCTCCTAATAGTTTTATGTTGCTTTTTTTGTTAGAGAGTGAATATGAAAAAGACCAACAGTGATGAACATAAGTCTTTGTTTTTCCTTTTTAATACTCACCTTTCATTATGAAAAATGTACATAAATTATGTATTTTTTAGCTATTATAGTTGTTACTGTTATACTGTATAATTAACTCATCAAAACTCTGTGGTAACATTGTACTTGAAAAGAGTTTTTAATCTACTTTTTCTAAACACCTAAAAAAGTCTTATCTAGAATTTTATCTAATTAAGAATGAGAAACGTTTATTTCTTATTTATGATACTTTTCATTTTTTTCTGTTAGTTAAGATAAAATACAAGTATAACAAAAGATTTTACAAAAATGATTACCTTGTCATGAACAGTCAAATGCAATCTTATGTTACAAAACCATATTGTGCTTTTACCTGGTATTTGGTAGAATTCTGCAGTTTGAACAAGGATTTACTAAAATTTCATTATAGCTTTTTTTATAAAGATGAAGTGCTGTGGTGTTTTCAACTACGCTGATTTTCCTTAAGGTAGTGGTTCCCTCTTTGTGGTATGAAGATCACTGATGGTTCTTGGAAAAGTTGTGTAATTTTACAAAAGAAGCAGTTATATAATGTATAAATCCCAATGTGATCTACCAAATTTGAAAGAATTATCCACCTCGATCCCGAGCTCCGTCTTGGCGATATAGTCATTCGTGTGGTCCCTGAGGCAAAGTTCTTGGGGCTTATCTTTGACCATAAGCTTAGCTTCATTCCACACATCAAGCAGCTGCGTGTCAAGTGTGCAAGGGCTCTGAACATCCTCCGTGTCCTCTCTTCCAGCTCTTGGGGAGCGGATTGATGTTCTATGCTCAGGATTTATCGTGCTTTGATTCGATCTAAACTGGAATATGGGTCTTTGGTCTATGGTTCCGCCAGGACCTCAGCCCTGAAGATGCTGGACCCCATTCACCATCTGGGGCTTCGGCTTTGCACCAGTGCTTTTCACACTTCTCCAGTCCAGAGTTTGTACACTGAGTTTCATGAACCTTCTCTTCACCTCCGTCGTTTGCAACTTTCTCTACAATATGCTACTAAGCTTCGATCCTTACCATGGCATCCCACCTGGGATTGTGTTTTTCTTCCTCAGTGAGCAATGCTCTTTCAGAACAGACGGTCTGCTATTCCTCCA